TCTGTTCTGTTCTGTTCTGTTCTACTCTACTCTACTCTACTCTACTCTACTCTACTCTACTCTACTCTACTCTCTTCTATTCTGTTTCATTTCTGTTGTATTCTTTTTTCACATCTCAAGTATCACTCAGCTCACACCTTCTTTGATAGTTGAAAACATTTTATTCTCCTGAGTATTTGGTGGATGATCTATTTCATTCCTACTGTTTCTCTGTTTTCATTGGAAATCCAGCCATTACTTTTTTTCCCATTCATCTAAGCATTTACAAAAAGCCTTTCTGAATCAGGTTCACCCCAGGGAATGAGCAAATTCCAAGTGTAAACATACAATAATCCAGTCTAAATTTCTTTGTTAATCATATTTATATGGCCTCCCACCTACCAAAGACATGGTGGTATGTATTTATTTGTATTTAATAAATAGATATTAAAATGTACATCAGATAAGACATTCCAAGGCTCATGGCAAAAAATGTCATAGAACAGTCGAATGCATACTTTAAAACATTTTCTATGCTTAATTGTGTCAGAGTAGCTGCTCGATCCAGACTTCTAAAGATTTTTTTCTTTTTTTTTAGAGATGAAGTGTATTGCCTTGAAAGCTTCTCATGAATGAATGAATGAATGAATGAATGAATGAATGAATGAATGAATGAATGAATGAATGAATGAATGAATGAATGAATGAATGAATGAATGAATGAATGAATGAATGAATGAATGAATGAATGAATGAATGAATGAATGAATGAATGAATGAATGAATGAATGAATGAATGAATGAATGAATGAATGAATGAATGAATGATGTTGCCACAACAATGCTATTCAATGGGAAGTTGAAACGACATTCTGGTAGAAGGCAATAGCAAAACCCTACCATGATGTCCAAGAAAACTACATGGATATCCTGATGGAATCCTGAGGTGTTAAACTTAACTCAACAGAAACTCAATCTTTTACCTGTAATCTAAGATCAGGATGCTACAACTCTTTTGTGGCTGCTATTCTTTCCAGAATGCAGGGTGTGTAATTCTGCAGGGCTCAGAAGTCTTCAGGTTGTATTGCATGCTCTGCAATCAGGGGCAAGACTCAGCATAACTATTTTTGTCTGTTGGGCAGGTACATGTATCTGTGAGCCATGGCTGGGTCAGGCTCTATATCGACTGCAAGAAAATAGGAGAAAAGTTTCTCGGGAAATCAGAGATCCTTTCAACAGCAGGCTTTATCATGCTGGGGAAACTGACAAGAACACGAGGACCACGGAGTGGATCAGCGACGGTAAACTTCTTTCCTCTCCAGCTTGCGCCATCGCCTTTCTCTGATACCTGAAAGTAGGTAACCTTAACGAAACATAGTGAAGATGTAGGAGGTGTTGTAAAAGAGAGAGATGCCGGTCCAGGCAAAGACAAATCCTATTTATCATGTTCCCTTCTTGATCCATTCAGCCATATTCTCTTTGGATACCTTCACAGAACATGTTCTGTAAACCACCAAGTGATTGCATTTGTACAATATGCTAAATTTGGCCTGTTTCAGGTGTCAACCCCTCACCAAGTTTAGCTGACCCCCAAATAAGCTCAGCAAAATCAAATCTCTTTGGTCCTTGGATGGGAGACCATCAGGAAATTCCAGGGCTGGGGAAGAGATTGTAAAGTTGAAAAAACATCCTGGAACAAGGTAATGGCTTATCACTTCTGTATTATTACATGTAATTACCAGGAACTGAACTTGACTCAAAAAACCCCTCTACCTTTATCTGATTGGGTTTTAACCAAGGTTAGGTTTTTGGTTGTTTTGGTGGCTGAATGTACTGTTCAAATCCAGTTCATTATATTAGCTAATAATTCAGGGCATTGTGGGAACTCAGAAAATGATTAATGATAATGGCCATAAAATAGTCTTTCAAATATGGAAGAACTAATTTCTTGGCAGTGATAAGGGCATGGAGAATCCATTTCTATTGTCCAGCTGACAATTTCCAGATAGTAAGTGTGTAGTTTGAAAGAATGTGCAAATCCAAAAATATTAACCTGTTAGGCTCCTGGTGACAACATGGACAAGTCTGTGCAACTTTCTTGGCAGCATTTTCAGAAGTGATTTGCCATTCTTCCTAGGGCTGAGAAGGAGAGACTGGCCCCAAGTCACCCAACTGGCTTCATGCCTAAGGCAGGACTAGAACTCAAATTTCCCCACTCCTAGCCCAGTGGCTTAATCACTAGACCAAACTGGGTCTCATCTAGAATATGACAAAAACACATGTTCCTCCACAAGGTGATCTAATGTGAAGATCTCAGCATTCATCCAAATCTTCCATAATTTTTTTAAAATTAATGTTGAGATCTGGATTACCTCATGGGATCAATTTAGCATGAGAAAAAGGATCAAAACACATTTTTCTAAAAATAATATACCACAGTTTTCAAATTGACATGATCGTGACAGGAGACGTAGCAAATCCGTTCTGTTTTGAACCATCCAATTAACTGAAGGTGTTATATACAAATATTCCAAAAGAGGCCAGGAAGGAGAATTTGCATTAGAGGAAGCCATCCAAAATTTGGTATTAGTTAAAAGGTATAATTCGTGTTTCAGAAAACCCACCCCCCATTTTTAACTGACAATTGCTTCTTTTTCAACAATATTGTTGGAATTGAAAACCTCCATAGAAATTTGCAAAACAAGGTAATGGGTTTTTAAAAAATATTTTCTGGATATGCATCTATTTCTGTACTTTAAAGAATGCCTCTGAGCTACACATAGACTGCTAGGCATTCTTACAAAAGAGAAATGGTGAATGACTACAGCCCAGTTCTTTAAGGAGAGTGCATTTCTGGCCAGAAAGCAGGACAATAGATATGCTGGGACAGTAGAGTGGTCTGAAGTCCACTCTTGATAGTCAAGATAGTCCATCTTGACTATCAAAAGAACTTGACCTAGAGACCATCCTGAGTATCTAAAGAAGGTGATCTAGGCTTCAGTTCACAAGCTGAAGACTCATGGCCATGCACAGCCCTCTGTGGTGTGGTCCCCACTGACCTCCCATAGGGGTACGCAAAGTATTTTGAATTTGAGGCAATTGCCAGGTGCAAAACAGCTGTTTTCATTCCAAATGGGTTGTTTTAACAGGTTCTCTCAATCATTTCAGAAGCAGTTCAAGATCAAAATACTTCCAAAATGATGACAATGGCCTGTTTCAAATGCAGAAGAGCTGAATTTCACACACTAGACCACAGTTTCAGACACCAAACAGGGCATTTCTACTTCAAGATGATTCAAGCTGAAAACATTTTGCACACCACTCTTTAAATGTTAATCTGACATAAAATGAGAGCCAATTTTGTTTTTGTCCAAGCATCCTTCACTCCTTTTGGAAGAATCATCCTAGACATGTCATTCATCCACTCTGATTCTATTTCAATGAATCCTTAAGACTTGGTTGTATCTCCAGGCCTTGGGTTAGACTGGGTGATAGATTCTTTGTATGGTACCCTTTTTTTTTTTAAAAAAAATTGTTGTTGTTTCCCTGACCTTGGCTGGATAAATGGATAGACATAAGGCAACCTAACCAGATGGATTTCAGATAAAAGGATGATTTTGGTGGCTATAGCCCCCCAGAGCAACCATTTTTGACATTCTTCACTATAACTAGCATTACCCACCCAGTGAATATAGCCATTAAAATGCAGTATGTAATAGAGGATCTATAACATCTCAAGGAAGACAAGAGATAGCATCCTTTCTTTTAAAACAACAGGCTTGGGTGAGTGTGGGTCTCCTTGAATGGTGAAGCTCAAATAATAGAAGTGAACACTAAGGAGGCTTTGCTAACCTCCACCTTTGTCATGTGCTCTCTGATAGTCCTGTAAATGCAATCCTGTGTCCATGCTCGACAGCCATTTTATTTATTAATTGTAAGATGAAACTGGTTTCATAGAAAATAAAAGCTGTGATCCCTTTTCAAACGTAATTTGTTCCATCAAAAAATAAAACCATATTGCCACCCCCACCGCCACCCCACTCCAAATTCCCATTTAATCCAGATGGAAAACTATCTTGTTGGATTTGGGAGCATCCTCTTCCTCACTTTTGCAGTGCTGATCCCATCATTAATGCATTATTCAAACTGAAAGTAATAATTAATGAACAGTCCAGGCCTCCATTGCCACCCACTGCTTTTCCTGCACTCTGTCTTTCTCAACAGTGCAGTCTTTGGGTAGACAGAATGTCTCATTATTGGCCATCATTTTTCTTTAGCTAACTACATGTATCTTTTTCAAATGTCATTTTGAGCTGTGAAGCTCTAGGTACTCCCACTGATCTACACATGAAAAAGAAAAATATTTTCCTCTAGCATCCTCTCCTTTCTGATTGGAGGGCTGCCCTTGGCTTGATTCAGAATCAAGACACTGAAGGACTCACAAGTTCTTATAATTTGATGCCAAAATGTCTACAATAATAAGGGAGGAATCTTTGGAAAATTAACCCTCCATTTTTCTCTGGAAGGAAAAGAATGTGCCAGGGAGCACAAGGCTATTCCATTCCCAGAACAGTGAGTTTTGCACATCGATAATTGCGAGGGCCTGTCAAGGCAGGCAGAGTGACACTCAACATCTTGTTGAGACAAATCATGTCCCTGCCTTGCCTCGGCCAAGAATGGCACAGCTTCTGTGCTCTTCATCAAGATGAATCCAAACTGTCTCGTGCATGCCGAATGGAAGTGCCACTTCCTCATAATAAATGATGGCACTAATAATGTTGTCTTCAGGGAGAAGAAACCTAAAAGAGCAGTGGGCCATCCCAAAAAGATTCCATGGGCCACATGAGGAAGAAAAAAAAAAGCAAAGGCTTCTTAAAAAGTGGATTAAAAAAGAAAAAGCAATGTGGCAGGTAGCCAAGCAATCCTCCCCAAATTTCAGACAACTGAAGGAATAGAAAGGGACAGGATTGTTATCCAGGACATTAGGAAGACGTCTGTTATTATTTTGAAGATTACTGTCATTGTTGAAAACAAAAGTGACCCAAGTCAAAATGAATAGGGGAGGAGCAGGAACAGGAGCAGGAGGAGATGGGAAGGAGGAAAAGGAAAAGGAAAAGGAAAAGGAGAGAGATCTGTCAGCCTTACTAGGTAGACCAGACAAGAAACATGGTCAGATAAGTTAATTCTACTTCATTGTGAGGCTGCATTAACAGAATCTTGCAAGTCTGAAAGTATAGTTCTCCCGCTGTCTCCTTTACAGCCCAAGAAACTAGGGAGGGTCCCTCTGAGCCTCTTGCCCCACCCGCTAGCAGCTGTGGGCTAAGCTGCCTCTTATCTGGCCGTTCCCTTGGCAGCACCTCTTTGCCCAGTTTCCCAAGATCATTCCCACATACCATTACATCATCAGACTGAACATGATGCTCCAGAGTTGGTCCAATGCAGGAATCCCTAGCCTTTGGGATTGGTGGGCAGATTTGGAATTTTGAAAGCATAAGTATTTTTATAAAATGGATGCTGTGGTAGATGTAGTCAGTCACAAAATATGTTTGGCAGGTGAAATATGGTGTTCCTGCTTGCTTGCATGGACCTCATCTGGCCTCGGATGATGCTCAATATTACTGTAGCTGACCTGTTGAAGGGTTGTTGTTTTTTAAAATAATTTTATTAAAAGTCTTTAAAAAGAAGATAAAAACTAATACAAGCTAATACAAAGTAAGAAAGGGGAGAAAAAAAAAGAAATCAAAGAGAAAGCTAAAAGTGCAAGAAAGGGAAAAAAAAGTAAAAGAGAAAAGAGAGAAAAGAGAGAAAAGAGAGAGAGAAAAAATAAAGTTGCTTCCAATCTTCTTTACAACGGTGTACAATTATAAATGTGCCCTTTTCTCTAAAGTTATGTCTCTCTTCTTTTTATAATCTATCCTGTTTAATCAACAAATCTATAAATCTTAATTTTGTTTTCCGCAAAAAGTTCATAAAGGGTTCCCAGTCAGCAATAAACGTAGATATTGTCTTTACTCTAATCAAAGAAATCAATTTGGCCATCTCAGCGAGAGAGTGTTTTTTTTTAAAGGGTCACTAGGCCTGTTTAAATCAGATATGATTCAATTCATTTAGAAAATGAGGCCAAATGAGGCCAGATTGATTTGAATATCTAAAATATTTCAATTGGGAAGCATTAACTTGAATATCTAAAATATTCAATTGGGAAGCATTAACTTGACTATACAAATTGAATCAAGGTGAAGTCCAGTTTGATCTGGACAGAACAGTCTTTTTGTGCATGGATCCTGTCATGTTATTTAATCCAATTTGATGCATCAAATTCATTTGTCTATTCAATCTGACATGCTGATTCAATGCACTGGATGGTCAAAGCTTTGTCCAATCAATGCACCAAGATTTGCAGACAGAGATCTGGGCTGCAGCTATCTAGTGTTTTAATTTTAAGAAAGCTTTTGGGCCCCAAAGACATGATTGGAGATACACAATATGTTTGAGGCTGAGGCTTTGCTTTCCAGCATGCTAGCTAAACCTTTTCTTAGAGACTCTGGCGCATGCGAAAGAGTGGTAGAAAGCACGCTTAGGTGCCAAGTTGAGTACCTGGATTCTAATGAATGGACATTTGGCATGGACTTAATTTATTTAATGGGATGTGGGAATACGCACACCTGCACACAATCCCTTTCTAAGACTGGCAGCAAAGTGCCTTCATTTTTCTGAGCAAATTTACCAGCTACTAAGACCCGAGAAATGTAGTGTGCAGGGGAGCAAACAAATCTGAAAACAGATTTTCTATTGATGTTGTTGGCTGGCTTACCGCATTACAAAGAAGACTTGTACCAATAGAAGAGAAGACTTGTCTCATATTCCTCCCACACCACAAAGACTTTTGTTATGGGAAGTATGTATAATGCATGAAACACCTTTTCTGATGCACATCAAGAGAGAAATGCATTGCTATTCTCAGAGGTCTGTACAGAATCTTTAAATAACACGTTTAAGAGTTTATGCTTCTCTATCCATAATTAGAAAGGGTTCAAATGTTGTTTCAGGGAACTGAAATAATAATACCTGTAATATCCTTGGGATGGTGATGATGATTACGAATTTATTTTCTATATTTCTATATTCTTGGGTAGTTTGACAAAGCAAATACAAATCTTAAATATTACATGACTAAAACTATAATCCAAAATATAAATATGTATCACCCATATTGATATATATTATTACAATGATTGATTATGCGCCATCAAGTCACATAGATAGATTTTCTCCATGACAATCTGTCCCCAACCAGGTCTCCCAACAGTGCCCCCATTGCTGCTGTAACTGAGTCCATCCATCTTGCTGTAGGTCATCCTCTTCTTCTCTTTCCCCCCATTTTTCCCAGCATTAGAACCTTCTCCAGAGAGCTAGCTCTTTGCATAATGTATAGTTGGATAATTTGAACCTGCTCATTTGTGCCTTAAGTGAGAACTCAGACATGGAAAAACAAGGAAAGTCTTCCAAAAGTTCTCTGAACTCAGAAGGTGGTTCCCACCTCAAATTGGTATGCTAATGGACGCCAATGGACAGATAGTATCTGATTTAGAGGAGATCAAACAAAAATGGAAGGAGTATACTGAAATACTGTACAGTAGAGATGTCAACATCAAAAAAGATATTCCCTACTTACAGGCACCTCTAGTACTAGAAGATGAAGTTAGATCAGCACTCTGGTCATTACCAAGTTGGAAACTGATGGAATACCTACTGAAATATGGCAAGCAACAGAAGAAGAATCAGTCAAGGTTCTAACCAAGTTATGCCAGCAAATCTGGAGAATGACCCAGTGGCCAACCAATTGGAAGAGGTCAATCTACATTCCAATACCAAAAAAAGGAGACTTAACAGAGTATGCAAACTATTGTACAATATCCTTAATTTCACATGCTAGCAAAATAATGCTTAGGATCAT